AGTGCTGCGGGAACGGCGCCCCGGGCAGATCCGCGTAGGAAAGTTTCCCGTTAAAGCCGTTGAAAACCGTTTTTCTCCCCATTGGTTTGTATGACAAGGAGAGGAAGGTGGTCGCAGCTAGGGACAGCACAGTGTGGGAATGGTTTTCTACGGTTTGGGGGAGCTCAGGGATGTCACTGGGATGGTTCTCCACCCCCCACAGCGGAGGGTCCCGGGGAGGTCGCACAAAGGGTAACCACATAAATTAGGATTTTTAGACATGTTCTGGTCCCTTCACAAAATCCTGGCACTTCTCCTCTTGTTAATTCCACTTGCATCCTTGCCCTGTGGATCAGCTGAGCTCTGGGAGAGCTTGGAAACTTTGGTTCCTCCTCCTCAACAGGCACAACCACATCAAGCCCCTCTTTAACCCTCTCCTCCTCGGACCCTTCTCTGCTCTGCGAGCAGCAGCTGAAGTGCTGCTCTCGTCCCCTGGATGGCACTCGCAGAATAGCTTCGTGCCCGAGCCAGCTCTCTCCCAGCCCCGTCCCCATTAGGGAACGAGCACCGAGCCCCGCTCGGGGCTGGGATCGCTGCTCTGAAGGTACAGAGGGAGGGAGACAGTGGGTGCAGTCCGCACCAAGCCCCCGCAGAGGGCACTGAGCGGTCGGAGCGGCTGCTCTTTTCCCCTTTCCCTGCAGCCGGTTCTGCTCCAAAGCCTTTTCCCACCGCAGCCAGCAGACGCTGCAGCTCTCCAGCCCATGCTGTGGGAGTTCAGCCCTTGAGCTCCCTTGGGAATCGCACCCTGGCACCGGCAGGTTTGGAAGTTGGTCATAAAAAGTTTGGGATTGGGAATATCACTGTTTTTGCAATGCTGAGTATTTTCTCTTTTTTTCTCACGAAACTCTAAAACATCTATTGGGAAATTATATTAAGGCAAAAAAAAAAGCAGGGTTTGCATCAGAACTCAAAAGCAGCTTCACTGGGGCAGATCCAAAACTTCTACTCTCTTTTTCTCTGTATCCTGTAAGTTTGATGGGAAGTATCTTTGCTTAGATGTGGAATTAGGGCTGAGATTTCTCACCTATTGCCCCCAGGAAGAGATGATGTGACAGGGAGTGTGAACTTCTCAGGATGGAGACAACCCCACACCTTCCCCATCCCTCCAAACTGATTCTCCCTTTCTCAAAGTGTACTGGGAAATACACTTACAGGTGATGCACAAATATGGATCAGAAGAATATGTGATCATATGGCATTTAGGGTATGCAAAAGAATAATTGCAGGGCTTGGGTTGATTCTACTTATTTTCATGATGCATTTAGGTTCCTCAAATTGAAATGAGTATAAAATACCTGTCAGCACCCCAAGGTCTATGAATATAACACTGGGATAATTGTAACACTGGAGGAAGACTATTTACAAGGGCCTGAAGTGAGAGGAAAAGGGGAAAGGGTTTCAAACTGCCAGAGGGCAGGGTTAGATTAGATATTAGGAGGAAATTCTTCCCCGTGAGGGTGCTAAGGCACAGGTTGCCCAGAGAAGCTGTGCCTGCTCTATCCCTGGAAGTGTTCCAGGCCAGGTTGGATGGGACTTGGAGCAGCCTGGACTAGTGGAAGGTGTCCCTGCCCATGGCAGGGGGTGGAAGTAGATGAGCTTTAAGGTCCCTTCCAACCCAAACCACCCTGTGATAATTCTCCAAAGGGTAGCTCCCCTCCTGCAGTGTGTGTGTTGCAGGTAGATCATGTGCTGTCACTAAGATCATGTTGATTTATGTGAGAGTTTTTTTCTGTCTGAATAAGAGCATTTGGCTGAGAGCTGTCTGTCCCTAGAACGCAGTTGATGTCTTCTCCTCCCTTGTGACCAGCAATTTGCTCACCCCCAGCTTTGGTGTTTGAGTTTTTCCTCAGCATAACTGTTGCAGAGTATCCTGGCAGTGGGGATTCTGAGCAGCTATGGATTGTGGGGTGTTTTAATAAGACCCAATTGGGATTTCTGGTATCTGGCCAGGTGAAACTAAAATTTGAGCACATTGAGATGATTTTACTCTTGGAATCGAATCATCAGTAATTTCCCCTCTTCGTTAAGTTCTGTTGTAAAGTTTGTGCAGCAAACTGCTGCCCCCTTGCCAACTGCCTTCCCACACTGTGCTGTGCCCCACTGGATGCTGAGTTTACCAGGGTGTCCCTCACTGCCAGGAGGTGACAGTGATGGGGTGGCAGTTCACTGGATAAACACTGGCACTTGGCCAGTTCCCCTCCTCAGTGCACACACTGGTAGTGATGTACTTACAGGTCTCTGCCCTGTCTCCTCTTCCTGGTTCCAGCTGCAGTCTGGAATCTCTTTCCCCCCAGGAGAGCCCTGGGGATCAGGCATTTTGGAGAGAGCTGCCAAAGGGGCTGGCCAGCAGGTCCCAACCCTCATGCTGTGCAGTGCCACCTGAAAAACAAGGACACAGAGTGTTTAGAAGAAAGGGACAAAAGGCTCTGAGCCAACTGCTGCTTGGACAAGTGCTTCTGGCAGCCGAGGGAGGGCATGAGGCACACACAGCTCCAACTGCAGGACTAAGGTTTGCTGGTCAGCAAATACAGAAGAACCCGAAGCCCAGTAGTGATGGATGGGACACTCAGCCCCTGATCTCCCTCCAGCTAACACACAAAAAACCGTAGTGCAAGTGTGACAGACCTCCTGCTTTGCAGCAGCTAACAACAGGATCCCCTGCTTTTTCTCCCAGTTTGCTTGTGTATCTTCTAATTGTGGCATCACATATCCAAACAGAAACCACTGCCCAGATCATTCCCTGTGTTTCTGGCGAACCCCCCTGTCTCAGTTCTGCCCCAGCCTCCCACCAGGATGTGTCCACACATACTGTCTACTGCATATTAAACCCCTCATCTTCTTACATAAAGATTTCTAGGGATGAATGCTCTGCTCTATTTTTCTCTGCCAGGATGTATGATGTGTTTTAATTAACCAAGGAATTAATTTAGTTTATCAATACATATTTGCTTGCGGCATAAAATTCAGGAAAGTATTTCATCTATTGATGCCAGTAAAAATCTGAGCGAAGCATTTTTGGTTTGTTTTCACCAGTAAAAGCCTTAGCCAAGCACTTTTCTAGCACAAACTTACTGAAAACTACTGTGTTACAAAAATAAGCCAGCTCTGGGCAGGAAATAAGAGTTTACCACACTTAACCCCTAGCATGCTCGACATGGATGTCAGGAAAAGTGGCCCACGCTGGTTTGGTTATATTTATGTTAATTTATCTAGATAATATGGCATAATTAAATTCAACATGTCTCTGGCAAAGTGATTGTGCCACCAGCATGGAGTTGGACACATCCCTGGTGTGTGAAGGAAATCCAGACCCATGTGCCAAAGCTTCCACTTACCTGTTCAAGTGGAGCCAGAGGACACGCAGAAAGCAGGGAACAAACTGCTCTCCAGGCAGCACCTTCAGAGCTGAGAGACATCCGAGTCACTTTCAGAGCCCCAACCACAGCTCCCAGCGTTTAAAAGGTGTTTCAGAACCAGCAGCTCTGAGGAGGAAGGTGCTGGTGCTCTGCTGCTAGGAAAGACTGGCACCAGGCTGCAGGAGAAGCAGATTTAACAAACAGAGCTGCTGGAATGCACAGTATTTGTTTTAAAAGCTTGTTATTTACATGACAACTGATGCCAGGCTCTCTTTATTGGTCTGACTATCAGGCCATTTAGGGTTCATTTTCCTAAGCTTTTCTCTCCAGCCCTGAGGACTGGAATTTTTCTTTTTTTTCTTTTTTTTTTTTCCCCAAATAAGATGGAACAAATGCTACAGGATTCAGGCAATAAAATTTCAGCAGCTACAGTCGCCAGAAGAATGTATGATCACTAAACCTCTCAAAACCACAGGAACTGGCACACTGATAGCCGTGGGTTCAGTAATCCCAGCAGAGGAAGGATTAAGTAGGCTAGGGAAAGCAAACTGCCCTTTTTGGTGGAGGAAAGGGACACATGGGAAGGCTCTCCCTGGGCTCACCCAGGAGTTTGCTCCATGCCCAGGGGGAGCAGCTCGGTGTGGGTGACAGCAGGGCACCAGCCTGGTGGCCATGGGACTCCACTCCCTGTGTGAGTGCCAAAGCAGAAACCACTCACCATGTTTTTCTTTTTCCTTTCATGCCTATTGAAGCTTCTCACAAAGTATTTCTGAGCTGTCTGGTTGTCACAGAACAAGGCACTGCTGAGAGGTGTTGCAAACTCTGTTTTCTGGAATGATCCATAGGATGGACTCTAGGAACAGCAAGGAGGAGCATCTTATCAAACTAAAATTGTGTCACATCGTGGGGGGAAAAAAAAGCTTTAACTATGCAAAAGGCAAACAGACGAATGTATGTGTGAAAAAGAATATTGCAACTTTGAGCTGTAAACTGCATCATCACAAACATCTCCTGCACCAGTAATTACTGAAAGGACAAGGTTTTCCATCACTGTGGAGCTGAAGCTTTTATTAACAGACCTGCACTGTGGCTGCAACAGGGCTTTTCTATCTGAATGTGGTGCTCAGTCTTTCAGCCTTTAACCCTCACCTTTCTGTGGGATTTTTTTAAAAACATTCTCTCCAAATCCACTCACCTTTTTAGCTCTTCCTGTATCAGCCAAGGTGAACTCAGGACCATGTTCCCATCTCTTTGAGCCCTTTCTCAGGGCAGAGCTAGGAGGCACCACTCACCTTTGTAATCCTCACCCACCTTAGTGCCAGGGCTGCTAAACTGCAGGAAGGGAAGGTATTAACAAAAAAGCCACGGCTGGATGCTCAGACAGTGACTGTGTGAGCCATCAGACACCACAGGTGTGGTGTCTGTGTGAGCTGGGACTGACAGAGAGTAAAACCATCCCCTCTCCACAGAGCATCCAGACCAAGAGAGGTCTCTGCTGCACATCTCTGCTCTCCTCAAGTGATCCAGGGGTTCACAGCCAAGATCTCACAGCTGCTTCCATG